TTTAATCGAGTTATTCCTTCTCGAATTTTTCCGTAATTATTTCAATTCCCATTCTCACACGTTAATATACCTATGCCTTCCGGAAAATTATCTTCCATAACACTAACACATGTTGATATTTTACATACCCCCCTCCGAGGGTAATTTTGGTCTAATCATTCTTGGGCGTTTGGCATGACAATTCTCTGTTTATAATTGCTTTAATATTTTTATTTTTCACTTCCACTAATTTTCTTATCAACAAAATTACTAATTATTTGACTAATTTCCTTGCTAGGAAGGTTAACGAAATTTTTTTTTAGTTGGCCAAAAAGATAATTTTGAACGCTTTGCGGCTTGGTCAAATATCTTTGGGCCAAATTGACATCTCATAATTTTTCTAACGTAGTAAAAATTTGTGAGTGGTCGATTTTTTTCGTTGGGCGGTATTTTTTTATAAAATAAGCCCAAGATTTTTTGGTAGTAATTAACTGCTCGGCAATAGTTTTAATTGGTTGATTTTCTAATGCTTTGTTTTTTCATGACTGGTAAAGTTGCCAGTAAGATTTTCATTTTTTTTGCCAAAGAGGAAGATTAGCGTCCGTCAAAAAAAGGTTTAGGTAATTCAAGAAAAAAGTGGTTCAATGTTTATATTCGTTAAGGAGTATAGCCTTTTTTTCCCAAAAATTCCAAGTTTTCAATAATAAGGGTTTTTCAAGCACCAAATTAGCCTGCGTAATATTTATTCCTTTCGCCACCAATTCTTCCCATTTCTTCCAAGGCAAAATGGGGATGGTGCGAGTAATTTTTTTAATTTCCCAAGCCGAGAGTTTAATAGGGGGAATATTAACTTCGGGCAAATAAAAATAAGCAGTTTTTTCCCGGTGGATAATTGTAGTTTGTTTTTTTTCGTCAAATCCTAGTGTTTGACTCAAAGGTGGTTCCTCGCCGCGGAAAAATAATTCTTGGTGTTTAGCAATTTCGTATTTTACGGCTTTTTCGATGTTGGCTAATGAGTTCAAATTTTTAACTTCGTAACGCGGGGTAACGTAATTTTTTCCTATTTGTAAAGAAAAATTAAGGTCAACTCGTAATTGACCTTTTTCCATCTTGGCTGCCGAAATACCTAGATAACGGCAAAGATTTTGAAGTCGTTTAACAAATACCAGCACGGTTTCCACTTGGGAAAAAACCGGTTCGGTGACTAATTCAATGAGAGGATTACCCGCCCGATTGAAGTCTAATTCCACTCCTTCGGGGTTATAACTACTTTTAGCTGTATCTTCTTCTAATTGCAGAGATTTAATTGGTATTTTCTGGATTTTTCCTTCGTGAATAAGCGGCAAATAACCGGCAGAGGCTAACGGCTGCGTTTGTTGAGTAATCTGATATCCTTTTGGCAAATCAAAATAATTGTAAATTTTGCGGTCAAAAAGGATGATAGGACTAATGCTCATTCGTAAAGCCGTCGCGAGTTTTAAACCTAAATCAATAACCTCCGGATTGATGGTTGGTAAAACTCCCAAATAACCTAACTCTCAGGGTCCAACTTGGCTGTTAGTGGGGATACCGCCTTGATAAGTATCCCCATAGTTAAAAATTTTCTTTTGGCTGGAAACTGTAATATGAACTTCTAGCCCGAAGGAAATCGCTAATGGCTCGTTTAAATCCATAAAATTAATTTACTTAATTATTTTGCGGTGAGATTTGAATTTGGGCCTGATAAGAATTCTCAGAAACTTTTTGATAAAT